CAAATGCCATGTCCTCTTTCCAAACATATCCCAACTTAACTTCTGGGCTACAACTATGATCATAATTAAGACGCCATCATATAGCCTCAACTGCACCCCATGCAAGTGCATATATGACATGCACTTTTGGTTGGATGGCCTCCCAAGCGCTGCTATCATCGTCGGGTCAGGTGCTACTTCAATCTCCTGCGCAAAAGGGCTGCGAAAGCAGGCTTGCTGAGCTGACTGTCCAGGGTTGAAAACCAAAAATGGGGTGAGAACCAAAGTTTATAAATTTGAAAATTGCCCCATGACAGCTCTTATATTTTCAGGTTCTTGTGAAGGTCCTACCGGGTATGCTGCACATGATCCATACACATATTTCCAACATATATGTGTATCCATATTTGTGATCCAGCGCACATTTACCATATATGTATGTATGCATGCATGCATGTATGTATGTATATATATATATATATGCACAGAAATAAAACTATATACACAGTACATGCACTTTGTAAGATCGATGGATCGATGGTGTCGGAGCCTGTGCACACGGTAATTGCACAAAGTGTGGAGGAATACACGAAACACAAAACATATATAGGAATGATCTCCAATGAACTTTAACAAAGTTTCTAGGAAGAACCAGGGGTCACCAGGGGTCTCTTCATACTTCATTTTACCGGAAAACAGTTATAGTTTTGAACAGGATAATTGAGAATCAAATGAAGAAGTGATATGACTTCAGCCGCTGCAATCTGCAGACCATTTGGTTCCAAGATTGCTCAGTGACAGTTGTACTTCCAGGGTTCTCGTTGCTATGGCTGCTGCACCACATGGGGATGGTGGCCAGATGGGCCTATTTGACCGGGAAATGGGCCTGCAAGGGGAACGCTGGAAGTCAGTACGTTTCTTCATTGAATGTCATTGCAATCTTTTGGTTTGCACCCTGAAACTACGATGTCACCTCTTTCATGTAGAATTCTACCCCACAAAGTGTGTTATTTTCAAGTGCGACTTGGCTTCGCTTAAGGCCCTGGTCGAGTACCATGGACTGAAGAGTTTGTGGAAGCCCGGCAGCATTGTGGGTCGAGGTGGCCATCAAGGTATCCCCACCAGAAATTCATGAAGGTTGTACTGGAGGGAAATAGTTTCACTGAACATATATATATATATATATATATTTTTAAAGCATACATACCATTATGAATGGCAGTGGGGCTGCATCCCCTTCCAAGACAAAACAACATGGAAACATATCATATGGTGACCTATACCACCAGCACCTGTCCACTCCACGCGTCCTCCACTCAGGCTGACGTGGCTCGTGAGATGCTTCGCAACATGCCTGACCGCGCCAAGGAGATTATCATCCATGGTGACTTCACTGGGACCGATTTGGTTCGACTCAGCAGTGAAGTGCATCGCCCATCGTTCAAGGAATGGGTTCCTTAAAAACATACATATGTTAATTCCCGTTACCCCCCTATCATATCAGTCTATTATTTTGCATTAGTGCCTGGCATGTTGTGGGTCTCTTTTTGAAACAAGTAACAAGTTTTTGAATGGGAAGATAACTTTTTAAAAAGGGCTGCTTGTCCCTGGAAGGACATAGCAGCAAACTTTGTTTGGCTCCGTCCGCTTTGCTCGAAGTTTCCGGCACAAGTGCCAGGTGGCATCATTTTGACTGACATTTGGTTGTACCTCAATCGGCTGCTTGACCTCAAGTTGTTGGTGAAACCGAACCTGTCGAAGGAGTTTCAGGCTGGCCAAGAGGCTGATCGATGTAAGAAGCTCATGGGAGCCTTGCGGTATCTCTATCGCAACAGTGTCTGGGCTCTGTTTTTGTTTCCTTAAATAATTTTGTTTTTCCATTTTGTGTGAAATGTTCTTGAACCATTTTTCCGATGGAATGGATAGAGGTGTTTGTTTTTTGGGGTGGAAGCTGTAAGGCTTGTCATCGCATGACCACCGGGTCACCGAGCTGAAGTCCTTGCTGCAGCCTTCCCCTTCCTCAAGAGTTTCTTGCCTATCACTTAATTACTTCCGGGAATGACTCTACCCAACATTTTTTTTGGTGCCATTTGTGCCCTATATCTAAGAAACGTTGGCGCTACAACCCAGGTATGTTTGTATTGCATTCCATGCCAAAAATCACCCAACGTCCTAATGCCAGGGCTCAAGATACAAACTTAAAAGACAGGAAAGAAGTAATTTAAAGTGTCAAGTACGAAGGGATTGGTTTTTGATCTTGTGGCCACAATGTGCATGTTTAAGCTACGGCTAGGTTCGGCGTGCTGCGGCTTTGCAAAGGGCTGAGCGAATTGAGGCTGCTGAATTTGAGGCGCTGGTTCGCACAAGAATTAAATGTGGAAAAAATCTTTTCGGTGAATTCAACCAATGCTTGCAATTTTTACTTGAACCAAACATGTTTGTTTCTTTGAAGAACCAAAATTTCTGGCTGTGGGTTTTCTCTTACGTGCCATGGGGTTTCTCTTTCGATGCAGGCCATGATGCCCTCCGGCTCTGATGGTGAAGCAGCACACGGTCCAGATCCTATTGCTGATCGTGATGGAGGAGGTGATCTTGTGCCGAGGGATTCAGATAGTGATGCTACCTTGGTCTTGCCGGGTCGTGGGTCTGACCACGAGGAGAGTGAGGAAGAGGGCGAGTCTGGAGAGGAAAAGGATGAGGCTGAAGAGGAAGATTGTGCGTCATCAAGTGAAGAAGGTGATGGGCGTGATGGAGGTGAAGTCAACAAAGAAGTCTCTGACGATGCTATGGAAGATGGGGAATCTGAGATGGAGGTCAACGCATCTGATGTGGATGTGCCGGAGGGACCTTCCAGCAGCAATGGGGTCAGGGATGTTGGCCCTGTGTGTGAGCGCTATGGTCCAGGCAAGATGTGCGATGGCCGTGGTTGCCACCCTTGCATGAATGCCCTCCTGAGTCCCAACGGCCGGATCTACAAGACGCCTGATTCGAAGAGTCGTCCCATTGAGAAGGACATGTCGGAGGAGAAGGCGCCCATGCCAGCCAACCCAGAGGCAGCTGATGTTACTTGGCTTGTGCTCAGGGTGGGTTTTGGGGTTTTGGAACTCTAAGACTCTAAGGGTGTGTGTGTGTGTGTTTGTTCTGACTAGGACATGCGCCATCTTGCTGAATTTACCCGTGTTATGGGCACAGATCGGAGGGACAAGACTTGTGAGGGCCCACCCTACGTGACAGAAGACACTATCAAGTTGCCCCACCTTGAGAAGCCCAAGTGGATGGGTGAGATTGAATCAGCGCTTCGAAGTGCTTCTCCCCCAATGGTTGGAATGCAAGCCACTAGACTAATTAGATGGTTGGGTTGGTATTTTTTAGAAGGGGGCTACTTTTTTATCATCCTCTCAGGATGGGTCATCGTCAGAATGCTCTGGGGACACAATGGTGCCGGGTTCCCCATGGGAGAAGGTTTCCGCTGCCCAGATCAAGAAGTGGAAGATAGACACCAAGAAAGCTATGGCCTTACCCTTGGGTAGAACAACTGCTTCAGTAGTTCGGATCAAAGTATATAAGACTCCTTTTGGTTTGCCCATTTATATTAATCTTCATCTTTTGTCCATTCAATACATGGAAGTTATAAAACACAGGGGTGCAGGTCTTCATCCTTGCTCACGTGTTCATATCTGAGGCAAACCCAAAGAGCAACACGAAGAAGAGCGCCAAGAAGGTGAAGAAAGCAGGGAAAGCTTCCTTTCGCCGTGGACATGGGAAGCGTGCCAAGGGTGGTGATGTCTTTGATGGTGTCCCTGAGATGCCTCCCATGCCACCTCCTTTGAGTGATGATGGGGAAAGTGGTGATGAGATCGATGAACGTGTGAGTGTGGATGGTGGTGCTGCTGCGGACCCCCCCAAGGATAGAGTTTGAACTCCAAGCTCATTTTGGTTTTTAAAGTTCATGTAGACAGGACTTGATTTCATAAGGTTGTCCTTTTTGGAGCCCAAAATTGTTGAAAAAAAGATGCATTATGTTCAAAAGACTCTCCACCTATATTGGTAGATATTGGTTCCAATCGCCAGTTTTGATTTAAATGGTCCCAAAGAAATTGGGAGAAACCAAACTTTGACTCACCTTGTACAACTATCCAAACCAAATGGGGAGATAGAGGTAAACCATTTATATGTAATTTCAAAAGAATTGTCTTGGTTTGGAAATTTATCAGGTAATTCTTCCCTCTCCAGGACACCTACCATGGGTATGATTTGTCGGAGATTCCTCACCAAGCTCATCCGAGCAAAGATCGTGTTCACACCGGCCGACACAGCTATACGGTGGTGCGTGGCGCTTGCAAGATCGAAGTTCTCTTGCGCCAAAGAGCTTTTTTTGTTCGGGGTGTGGTCGGGCCCAAGCATGTTGCTTGGGGCAAGTATGACACGGTGGCTGATGCCTGGATGGCAGCATGCGCCCGTGGTGGCGTTTTGCCATGAGCAATCCTCTACAGGTTTTCATATGGGTACATATCTCAAGTCAAGTGTTGCAGCGTAGAACTACCCTTTGGCTGCCATGAAATCATTTCAAGGTTTGGACCGTTGTGTTTATAGGATTCAACTTTTTGATGATTTCAGTTCTCAGATTCCATAGTTTGCAATGGCTTATCTTGAGTAGAAGGGTGGCAGCTGCTCGCTTGCTTCTTTAGCGATTCTTTGGGGATCCGTGAGCATTCAGCACCGGGGAAAATAGAGCGCACTCATGCCACCTCGTAATATTAAACACCCTCTAAATGGTCTAAATATGCGTACAATACTAAACCTTTGTTGCTGGGGGTGTTGAAGATTAGAGGAAATCAATTACTTGAATTGAACAACGTGTTCCGCAAGCAGCAAATATCATTGCGACAACATCCCATTGTGAGGCAATAGTTTCTTGGATGTTCCTGGGCATGGTTTGGAATACTATGATGTTTATAGCTTTTCAGTGCTCAAATCCACAAAAAAAATTCCAGACCGTGGTTTAGTTGTGAAGTGATACCATGGTGAAAAGGGCCCCTGCCACAAAATCGGTCCGACGGCATTCCATGGACCAGACCCCGGTGTTTGACCGGCCTCGCTCGAAGCTCAACTACAGAGAGATCAAACGCAGATCCATCATAGCTGGCCTGAGAATGATGAAGGCTCCAGCAGCACTGTGGCTGAAATCAAACCAGCAGCTCAGGGGAGCCATCCATATATAACTAGTTTGTTTGGCCACAACACCATCTGTGGAGTTGAACCGCATTCGAGGGTGAAGAACCCCAAACAAACTTGACAATCAAGAACGCCGGCATGTTCTCGGGACTTCATACATGTATACAAGTATATAAACACATGAATATTTAGATAAATATACATATAGATATACATATAAATATATACATATATATATATAATCATATATATTTATATATATTTATCAACGTATACAAATATATGATATGCAATTTGTGTATACCTTTTTTGGATGATATCGGGAATCCCAAATCCCAGAAATTTCTGGGGCGTCAGTTGCCATGTGTTTCCCATAAAAAATAGAGTAGAACCCCGGGCTAAGTATCTAATCTGGTTGTATTGGCGTTGGCATCAGGTTCCAGTGTGAGCCGCAGAAGTCAAGGTGTCCAACATATCAGTTTTTGGGGCCCATGAAATCTGTTTTTGGAATTTTGGATGTGCTAGATCGCAAGTGAGCAGAAGCAAAGTTAAAGACACCTGTAGTCCTGAAGGTGGTAGGTGCTCATTGGGAAAAACATCCGTGGTATCATCAATGGTATCCCTGTCAGAAACTATACTGTATGGTGGCCAGCCGTTGCATCAACATGGCGCCATTCAGGTTGTGGCCTTGCTGGTGAACTTGGTCTTCTCCATGCAGTTCCTGGCGATTACTGCATCCAATTCTTTGGAGCATTTGGAACTGTTTGCCGGTGATTGCTCTGTTACCCGAGCCGAGCATATGGACCGGGGTGGAACAAACACTTTTATTTGTATAAAGCCAATACCTTTTGATGTGCTTTTAAATGGAATATATATATATATACACCTTGAGCTTACACACTCCCACTTTAGTCCCACATTTCATTTGGGCTTCCCAGTGGGTTAGCATTGATTACTTTGAAATAGGAGTGTTGATATGTACTTTTACATTATTAGGCCTACATAGCTAGTGATGTATATATATATATATCTGTTCAATCGGTAGGACCGGTGACTATGGGGAAATAAGATTATTATTTCCCTTTCCAAACAGGTCGATGCATGGTTGGGCCAGTTATATAGTAACACAGAAACAAAGACCTCAATTCCACAAACATATATGTCGTATATAGTGTTGTTGCTGCAGGGGAAATGTACAAGGTCCTGATTCCTCTCACCAAATCCCCAAACGAACTGACCGCAGGAAGGGAGAAAGACCATGGCCATGGACGTGGCTTGGGGGGGGGAAAGCATGGATCTTATGACCCCAGAAGGGTTCATTGGTGCGATCTACCATGCATGCCGTTTGAAGCCGGGAACTGGAGGACTAGCAGCTCCTGTCTGTTCAAGTTTTGTATACTTGCTTCTTGACTTACAGGGTTTTTCCCCATGGGTTTTATCTTCTCACACAAAAGAGGTAAGTCACCAGGCCACCTTAAAAAAACTTGACATCAGTTTAACATTGAACAACAATGGATTTTAATGTCTTTTCCGGGGCTCCATTGTTTCGATTTTCGCCATCAGCTCTTATCCAACCTGGGTGACCCGGCCACACGCATGTGGCAGCCTTGCCCAACCTCAGAGCACCGGGCCCAGGAACAAAGGTACGAGCAAACGATCGCCAAGCAACCCATGTGGTGAAGAAAGTTTCCCCAGTGTATTCCTGGGCAACACCCTTGCATGCAGGACTCTTATAATCATAATGATCATTCATGCCTTGAATGGGTTTTGGTTGCTAGAGCAACCGCGTGGCTCGATGATGGAATTGCTTCCGGTGTTCCAGGCCTTTCTGGCCAAAATTCCTACATTCCGGCATTCCATAAACATGTCATGTTTTGGAGCGCCAAGCCAGAAACCGACTTGGTTGTACTCGGGACTATCATTTGAAACAGTTAAGTTTTCACAGGAAATGTTGGAGAATCGCATTACCAAATGGGGCCAATTCTGTAAAGATTCTAACATCTCCTGTTGGACCGAAGTGTTTTTTTTGTGCAACACACCTGGTGACCAAACATATACTTCAAATTTCCATGTGGGTTGATCTCCCACAAAAAGGTATATATGTTTCCCAAATTGTACGAAATGGTTTTCGATTTGGGTGGTTACGTAAATATTAAGATGGATGGACAGATGCATGCACTGATGAGTTTATCATATGTTCATATCCGCACACATTTAAACCACTGTATATTATAAACACGCTCATTGATCTACACCTATCATTGAGACATTTTCCAAAATACACATATATATATATATATCTATCTTTCTATCTATCTATCTGTCTGTCTGTCTGTCTATCTATCTATCTATCTGCCTGTCTGTCTGTCTATCTATCTATCTGCCTGTCTGTCTGTCTATCTATCTATTAATCTATCTATCTATCTATCTATCTATTTATCTATCTATCTATCTATCTATCTCTCTACCTCTCTATCTCTCTATCTCTCTATCTCTCTATCTCTCTATCTCTCTATCTATCTCTCTATCTATCTATCTATCTATCTATCTATGTATCTATCTATCTATCTATCTATCTATCTATCTATCTATCTATCTATCTATCTTGCTAATTTTCCACTTGGGTTGGTCCCCAAAAAAAGGCCCCCACAAGTCCCAACATCTTTCATAAAATGCAGAGAAAACACTGTCTTTTGGGGACTTGTGGGGGGCTTTTTTGGTGAACCAACCCAAGTGGAAATTTACCAGTCTATCTATCTATCTTTCTATCTATCGATCCATCCATTCATCCATCCATCCATCCATCCATCTACATTTTCACCTACCTACCTACATGCATACATACATGCATAAATACATACATACAAACAAACAAAGATACATACATTTTTTGACACAAAAGAAATAGGTACAACTATAATGTAGTTGTACCTATTTATTTTGCGTTCAAACCATGCATACATACATACATACATACATCCATGCATGCATGCATGCATGCCTGCATACATACATACATACATACATACATACATGCATGCATGCCTGCATACATACATACATACATACATACATACATACATACATACATACATACATACATACATACATACATACATTACACACATACATACACACATACATACACACATACATACACACATACATATACACATACATCTTGAAATAAAATTTGACTGTGGGTTTAGGTTGATAGAACAATGTATCCCAGCGTATCCATGCAACAATGCCAGTCCTTGTGGCTGAAATCTGAGGACATTCCTACATAGATGAGGTCGATGAGTTCCAACCCCGATGGCTTCCGCCAGTTGAGGAGGTTGCCCAAATGGCTGTGAAGTACATAGATGGATCGGGGAAGCAGCGGGTAAAAGGTGGGGCTGACCTCAAGCGCAGCCAATCTTACCCGTTGCCGCCTTGCCCTCAGTTTGGACCCCGGGCTGTGTAGCGTTCCATAGAGAGAGAGAAGCCTGCCATTTGTTTGTGACAGTTCTGAACCCAAAGACTGTGAGCCAAAGAGTGTTTCTAATCTGTCTCAGTGAAGTCTCTTACTTTTTCAGAACTGAGAAACTACCATGTTTGATTCACTGAGATTCGGCCGTGCTCTTTCGCAATTACGAAACCGACATGCTGCTCAACTTCGCAGTGAAGCCAGGGCTACGATCAAACACAACTTGAAAAATTACAAGCATGTGCCCAGAAATGTCAAGGATGATGCCAAGTGGATTAAGCAAGCAAATTTAGGTCCTGTGTTGGACTACCTGTCCTGATTGACAACATGTCAATCCATGGGTGCAGCCCTGTTTTGTATATGCAAAACTTGAAGGTTGCTACGCAAATCAAATTCATTTTTGTGGGTTTCTGGTCCCCACATCGCTGAGCGCAACTGGTGAGATGCAAAAACATGTTCCTGCATATTCCCCAAAAAACAGCTGTATCATCGGCAGCTCATGTTTTTTGAGTTGAATTGTTCGTTCCTGGATGCACCAATGGTTTTCTGGAGCAGTTCCATTGGGCCACCAGTGGCTATTGTTTGCATGTCAAACATCATTTTTGCCACCATGGTCGCCATGGTCTTGCCCACCATTCGTATCTTGCCCCCACTTGCCTGTCGCTTGGAGGTGAAGCCAAAGGATGGGAAGGTTCGTCCTGAAGCACGCATCGAAAGGTGCCATTCCCCCTCGCAGCTGGTCTGGTGGCAGCCTTTGAGTGCCCACAGGTTGAACTATTTTGGTGGGTGTACCCAATCTGTTTTCAACTAACCCAAAGATACCCAAATCAAAAGAATGTGAAGATTTCCTATACAAAGTCAACAAAATTCAGCCACGTAGTGTTGAGAAATTGGCCACGTGGTGTGTAGAAAAGCCGCGATTTGTAGATTCAGCTTTCACATGAGCATTGGCCCCATGGCAATGTAAGTTAACAGCAAGCCATGACACCATCAGATTAGCTTCATTCAGCCACAGTATCTCTAACATCTTTTTTCAGCCACGAAATCTCTATTCAGCCACGAAATCTCTATTCAGCCACGAACTGCACTTGCTGGAATCCCCGTTGTCCTTCAATCCGTTGCCGCTGGCCTCAGCATTTTGCTCGAGCACTTTGCTGGAAGTTCAGTGTGGCTGTTTTCATGGCTAAAGTCAAGAAGGACCAGTTGAAAAAGAAGCCGTCCAGGCCCCATGACCAGGACACAAAGTTGAAGAATAAAGAGTCGAAGAAGGGTAAAGATACCAAGATAGCAGAGCCGAGGAAAAGTAAGAAGCCAGAAGGGAAGGACAAGAGAGACAAGCAAGACAAGAAAGAGAAGAAAGTCAAGAAAGCCAAGAAAGAAGAACTGACGAAAGAATGCCAGAAGAAAGACAAGAACGGCAAAGGTAGTATGAAAGAGAAGGCAGGTGACAAGAAAGGAAAGAACACAGGAAAAGGCCAGGAGAACGATAGCAGGAAGGAAAGGCAGGCAACGAAGGAGATGGACAGCAAGAAGGCAAAGCAGGCAGAAGTCACCAGGCAGCCTGCTTTGAGGCCTCCACCCCAGCGAAGAGTTTCTTTCAAGAGTGCGCAGTCAGTCCCGTATGACCCAAAGTCTGCACCAGCCAGCTTGTCAAGTTTGAGGACTCCTTCACCGAAGAGGGCATGTATTTCCCCCAGCGCAACTTCTTCAACTTCAGTGCCTGAGAGCTTGGTGGCTTTGCGAAAGGAGGCATCTGAGAAGGGCATCACCTTGGAGGCCTACATGGAAGAGATTTCCCGACAAGAGCTTGAGCACTCAGTGGAGGAGCACATGAAAAGCTTACTGACTGAGGCCAAGAATACCGAGAATGAGGATGAAGCAGAAGATATGGATGAGGATGAGCTGCTGGAAGAGGTTGAACCGCTTTCTAGTGACAGCAGCAGCAGCACCAGCACTAGTGAAGTTGGTTCCAACAGTGACCTGGAAGATTCTGCAGCACTTGACACCGAAGCAGATCAACAAGAAGATGACGAGATGGAGGAACAGGAAGAATCTGACGAAGAGGACGACAAAGATGAAGAGGAAGCAGAGGACCTCGAGGACCTTGAGAAGGAAATCGACACTTTGATGAGTGAGCCCATCAGAGGAGCTCCCCTAGTGCCTGCGGCTGAGATGACCAAGGCGGACACCATGCCCCCGAATGATGACAAGGATGACAAGGATGACAAGGATGACAAGGATGACAAGGACAAGACGCAGAAGACTCAGACACCGGGTCAGCAGGAAAGTCTCCAAAAGGTGGTTGCAGCCCAGGATGCAGCGCAGGGGAAAAAATATGGAGAATTTGCAAATGCCAACAGCATCTTATTTGATTTCAAGCCAAAGACTTTCTACACCATTTTCCACATACAAGCAAGGTATGAATATCTAGATACATACGTATGTATGGATCCAGGTACCAATACATATTCACCAACATATGCAAATACCCCAAACGAATAACTCTATCTATATATATATATATATAACATATATATATACACACTAGTATAAGTAGAATATATATATATATATAATAGAGAGAGAGAGACAGAAATTTAAACACTCTTACTCTTTGCACCAGGTTGTTCCATCATTTCTTCTCCTCATTCCCTCGTGCAACTGAGGTAGCAATTCGAAGTCCCAGTGGGATAAGTTCTGCCGCCAGTGTATGGACAGAAAAAAGTTCCCAGTGGCACTTGCGTCTACATACGTTCGAGACAAGCTCGACTTGTTTCGATGTTGGCTATCTATGTCAGAAGACTGGTCAAAGCTTCCAGCAGGAATTTGATTAAACATGTTTATTTTTCCCTTCTTACTTACAGTGTATCCCCTGATCAAACGTCCAAAACTCATGTTTCCACAAGAGAAGCAAAGCACTAAGGGTGTCGGTGGAATTTGAGCGACGGGCAGAGTGCAAGAACACGAACACCAGAAAGAGGCAGGGAACAAAGGCAAGGGAAATCTTGAAAAAGTACCCAGAGGAAAAAGCGAAGGCCCTCATGAAGCGCCTCTATGACCGTGGACTCTGGTATTACGATCCAGATTTTGATGGTGACACTGAGGAACATGGGTCTTGTCAAAATTGGTTTTATTGAGGAAAAAAACGTGTTCAAAACAAGCCTATTCATGTTTAAATCAAATATCCATGCTTTTGTGCAGGAGATCTTCTATTACCTCAATGCGGGAAACGAACTGAAGCGTGAGGATATTACCAGCGAGGGTGTTGCTTTGAAGATGTCTGAAGCCGGCAACAAGGACCTTGTTGAGTCCCTGACTGTTGAAGGGGGTCCACTCCAATGTGGGGCTCTGCCTGATGCCGATGCCGCCACCGATGCTGGGAAAAAGAACTTGGTTGAGTCCATCACCAGCGCAGGAGTTGCTGTGGCAAAGCCCAAACCGGCAAAAAGGGAGCCTTCAGAGAAATTGGAGCCCAAGAGCCTTTTGGAGTCCGAAGCTCAATTTGTTTGTGATTAAGATAGGGTTCAAATTGACCTATGGCATACGTTCAAAGCTTTCTTTTGAAATCATTTGAGTAGCAACCAGGCCAAACCTTGCAATAGAATACAGTTCAGTCTCCAACATTCAAGGGTAGCTCCCCACTCGCATGCACATCCTCGTGTGTATACATAGCAGAAACATTTGCACAAACTTGTATACACATATGCATCTGTGTTTTTGACATTGCATAAGTAATCAGGACCGAACTCAAAACATATATATATACATATAATAATAATATTTATTATATATATATGTGTGTATATATGTATATATATATATATGTATATATATATGTATATATATATATATATATATGTATATATATATATGTATATATATATATATGTATATATATATATATATATATGTATATATATATATGTATATAAATGTATATATATATATATGTATATATATACACACTCATACATAAGTAAAAATAAATATGTCAAGTATCTGTATTTGAAGCAATATCAGGCACACTTTGCCCAGATAAAACCGGTGGGTTCCTAGTAAAACACCAACCTCCTCTCAGGTTGGCAACGGAGAAGATGGAGCTCTGCCTGCAGAAAGGGGCACAAGCTAGGAAATATTCCATCAGCTTGGGCTCGTTAGAGTACAGTGGAGACCTTGCTCAGCAGATGCTGCAGTTCAGCAATAAGATGGAGAAAATCTACCGCAACCTGCGTGACTTGGTGGACAAAAAGACCAATGCTGAAGAGCCCTACGAAAAGTTTTTCCAGATCATAAACGAAAAGATCCAGTGGTATGAGAAGGCTGAGGTGGGGTTATTACCGTCATGTCTGGGTGAAATCTACTGAGATACCTTTTCAAACTATTTCCGGGTATTCATCAATTTGTTGAAGAGTTCCAAATCAAATGATATCAGCTCTTTGTGGGGGAAACTCGAATGGCACACCAGGTAACTATTTTCTGGTGAAATTCCATGAGCCCCCATTGCAAAATCTGTTGGTGACACCCCATGAGAATCCATGAGATCTTATCAGAATGTGTTGATCTCTCTGGGGTCATGTGCGAATTTCATTTCCTGGTCATGTGAATTTCAAAAATCCATTTGCAAGTTCCATCTCTTTTCCAACAAAATCCATTTCTTTTATCCCAAGAAAACAGGCATGTCAACCTGGCCCGGCAGGCTGCAGCCAAAGGCCTGCAGACAGGACTGAAGCCGAAGAAAGCCAAGGCGAAGGCGAAGGCGAAGTCGAAGCCTTCTGCAACAAAAGCTGCTTGAGCTGATGGCTTTTAGGCCATGCGATTTTGCTAAGGTGCCATTGGGTTGGCCTACAACAGTCTTGATGTTGACTTTCAAACAAAGGAAAATCCAACCATCACCATGCAGTAAATTTCAGACCATTGTTTTGCTGGTGGCACATGTGAAGCAAGGGGCCTATGATGGCCTAAGGGCAAAACCGTGTTTACTCTTCTGCAGTGATAGCTGCGGCTCTGTAGGGGCAATCGCAGAACAGTGGTGATCACCTGTCCACCCTCAAATGATTTTTTGCGCAAATGGTGTTTCACTATTAATATTTTGCTGGGTGGTCACCAAGTGATGTTTGATTGTGGGTATCATCGGCCGTTGGAGCATTGCTGAGAGTAGAATCACAGGGCGACTGGAAAAAGGATTCGTGGTCTTGTCAGCTAATCACATTTGCCAATTCAAATACCCCAACAAACGAATGAAATATAGTAACACCCCAAAAAATGCAACTCCTACTTAACATAGTGAACTCTTTTGGGGGTCAATATAGATATACGTGTAGTCCCAGCCACATATTCGCAACGAGTTTTTGACTTCTTTTGGACAAAAGGCTTTTGGCAACTCCTTGAACAGGTTCAAACAAGCAACCATTGGGATCATATAGGTGGGTTTCGCCACATACCTAGCCCTACATTGCTCCCTGGGACCCCTCGCAGGTCGCCAACTTCGAAGAGTGGCAGGCCACAGGCCTGGATTTCTGTGACATGGTTTTCCCAAACAGCGGGAAAGTCATAATAAACCAGTGGGGTTTACAGGTGCCTCAATTTAAGACAAGCCCACGTTTCCCTGGAAAGGACCAAACGTTATGATGCTTTGCCAAAGAGTCACAGTGCTGACACATACCTTCGTAGCTTGGTTTCATGAGTAAAGGGTGCGTCATATGTCAAGTTCATAGTGTCATAGATATGAAGCTGATGGTACGAGGGTATTTTGGTTCAAACATGGGGACCATGCCAACAAAAAATGACCCCACCAACTTAACACATGTACCCCCAACATCTTTAGGGAATGTATCTGTGTGGTCATTTTTGCTGGTGGAGAATTTATTTGTGGTCCAATTGCAGCCCAGGAATGGTTGGGTCTGGGCGTGCAGCAGTGGCTGAAATATGCGACATCAGCCGGGCCAATGTGGCTGATGGTGCTAAAAACCAAGCCTTACTTGGATTGAGCTCTTTGGGTGATTTTGGCAAACACGAAAGCAACCAAGAACGGGATTTGCATCGCTGGGTCAAAGGTTTGCATGCGATGACCTTGGAGCCCTTTGAGGTACCTATGCTTCTCAACGTTTCTTATTCCAATGTCTGGAGGGAACTTGTGTGGTTCAACTTCAATAAACATTGCAAAGTGCAAAAAGGTAAAAAAAGAACCCATGCCAGAATTACCATCCAAATGTCAGCAAACAGGGTTCTTCAAATCCAACAATACCACAGAAATACCATCAAATCCAAACCTGTGGTATCCCTTAAATTTGCGCAGACTCCAATCCAGGTTCCAGGCCGGGATGGTCGAGCTTCTGAGATGGTCCCAATGCTCCTGCCACATGAGATCATTGCTGCAACATGGCGCGCTGGTGATGTGCAGGACTGGGTGAAAACACAAGTAATTTTATTCCCCCATGCAATCTGAAATTGTCGAATAACGGACCCCGAACTGAATAGGCACCAAAATAAGCGATGGGTCCAAGGTTAAATCATATCACAGGGAAGCGTTTATGTGCATCAAAACTTTTACAAAGACAGTTCGATTTTGGTTTTAGGAAATGAAAACCCTGCAGTTTTCAAAATCGATGACTGGCCATCTTACCGAATCTGCAATGGCTGAGTTTTGGGGGCATTGCGCCAAACATGAAGAGTGGCGAAACCACCCATGCCTGAATGATGCATCAGTCCCACAGGGACGACCTTTGACTGGAAAACGATTTGAATTTTATTGTTTTAGTTTGATGGGGAAGTATACTCACCCTTTCATCAACATATGCAACTACTTGTATGGGCCAACATGACATGAAAGTGTATAATATCTGGTGGCATTTCATTCCAGTGGGGAGGGGTGACATGCACCATTATGCCCACCAAGGATTGATACCGCTCTGCCTCCACCTGGATGGTGCAGAAATGTTCACCAACAATGAATTCATGGTTTGGAGTATTCAATCAGTCTTTGCAAACGGGACCGATGTCTGGGACTCAAAGTTTCCTGTTTGTTTTATACCCCTAGAATCCATGCGAGATCAAGACGTGAGAGATGCAGTACACCAATCGATTGCTGAAATTGTGGCATGGAGTCTCAAAGCAGCTGCAACTGGGGTATGGCCAACAGTGGGCCCAAAAGGCGAAACCCTCATTGGTGGCGATCGGGATAGATTACAAGGGCAACAACTAGCTGGTGGATTTCGTGCCTGCTTTTGGGGATTCCGAGCAGATGGCAAAGCCAGAAAAGAAGTCCATGATTTCCAACGGTCATACTTACATTCTTTTGTTTGTGAGTCTTGCATGGCACAGCGCCCACACAAAGGGTGGCAGCCCCAGCTCAACTACAAGAACTTTTACCCAACAGCGGCTCATCGCTTGTCCAAGATCAGTCCATTCCTAAGTTGTTAGAAGAAAACATGATACTTGTTTGGGTAGTGTGTATGATTGTAAACGGCACCTTCACTTTAAAGTTTTGATCCCCAAATTCAGGCCATGATGACTACCTCCAGTTCGACACCCAACTGTCTCCTTGGCGACACGTCGAAGGGTGGCACCTGGGCACATGCTTTCACGATCCTATGCATCTACTTTACCTGGGTACTTGCAAGGACTTATACCCCAGTGCTTTGGGGTATTGGATCAGAACAGATGTCTATGGCGATGGGCCCCTAGCGAAACGGTTGCGCAACTTTTCAGAAGACCTCAGGGTGGCAAGTCGCCAACAAAAGTTTCTAGACCAACATAATGAAAGTTGTTTTATTGTTTTGGGTATCCTTGTTGCATTTATAGAGTAGTAGCTGTTGCAAAAATGACAGGCATTCATAAATATATGTGGATTTTTTTGGACCCACTTATATAATGGTTCAGGATCGCTATCGGTCGCAAAACCTTCACTCCGACAAATACAGGGCTAGACAAACAGTCAGAATTCCCAGAGCTGGGCAGTACGTTCAAGGCTGCCTTTGTCAAGGCATGCTCCTGGTACTTTGCCAAAGTTGCGATTGAAATTTCAGAGAAGAACCCAGCTGAAACTTTTTGGCACCAGAAACGTATCATTTTGTTCTTTTCTATTGGACTTCCCATCAATTGGTCTGTTCCAGAAACATATGTTGGTCTTTACATGACGTGGGCTTCTCCAAACAACCATGACTTTGAGATCATTAGCAGTTAAGGACGGCATTCTACATTTGATTGCTGTATGCCTTTGGAATTTTCACAGTGCTGTCTCGGGGATGGACCACGCAGCTCTACTTTGTCGGGATGAAGAAGCCAAGGCCATCTGGCACCCAAACATGATAATGATACCTGTTTGGAATTTTGGGATAGTGTGTGGGCCCAACCCAGGTTTCATCAAAACAACCCAGGGCCCGCCTCTCTCGTCATCCTTGGCAGGGCATCGTAGACAACTTCTTCCACCACCTCATTGCGTGGCAGCATTTGGCATCCCAATGCGAGCAGAAGGGTTTGCTGCTCTTCAAGTTAAGACCGAAACACCATGGTCTTGACCACATGGTTTCACAATTGTTCAGAACGAAAATCAACCCACGCAAAAGCATGAGTTGTTTCGCGGATGAAAGTTTTTTGGGACACCTGAAAAAGATTGTAACAAAATGTCATTCGGTGTCTGTCTTGCGGAGGTTTTATCAGAGATATCTGATATTGCTTAGCTTTAGGTGGCATGAGTCCAAAAGCTGAATTTCAGCTTTGCTTGGGGTTTTTTGGGGACAGGGATCTGGGCCACCAAACTGTGGTCACGTAGATCCAACGATCCATGCAGCATGGCAGCATGGCCAGAAAGGTGCTTCTGTCTGATTGTTGGCAATCCAAGTCAGAAACCTGGGTTTAATTATCTATTCATTTTGGGAGCTCATATTAATATATTATATATTGGGTTGATGGGGTTAGTTTCAAGTCAGGCTAGAGATGATGTTTGGCGGCCAGGAGTTGCGAATATGGGAAAATTGTTTTTACCCCAAATTCTGGATTTTGTGTTTTGTGTTGACATCAATGTAAAACATTAACATGTCAACTGCCCCACCGGATATGCGAAGTACTGAACCGGTCCTATATATTCCACGGGATTGACTTTTGTGGCATCATATACCCATGTAGGGTTCTACAATTTGTTTGATACTTGGGACGGCGCATGCCGGCCAAAACTTAGTTGGTTTGTTTTTGTTTATGATTTGGTTTCTTTTTGATCCAACAGGGTGGTGACGAATCAGTCTTACCTGTGATCCCAATGTTTGGTGGATAAACCCTTGAAGAAAATATGTTTTGAAATCTAGATAGCAACACAATACATATATATAGATAAACATGTGTGTGTGTGTGTTTAAACAAATCCAATCACAATCTCTCAGGTGTTGCCATTCCACCATTTTTCAGGTGCATTTAGGCATCACACTTCCCAATCCTGGTGGTCGGTTATCAAACCATACACACATATATAATTATATATATTATATATTTATATATATATATATATATAACAACCTTCAGATACGCATTTATAGTGACCATCCGGGGAAATGGACTTCTATAGATGGTCTACACATGCACCGAATTTTCCCAATGGAAAATTCATGATGTGGCAATTTGTTTGGGTGGCAAAAAAACGAATGGGAAGACATATACATGACGTAATTTATATATATATAGATATATACATACACACTACACACATACATACATATATATATATATAGCTTTCAGGTACCATGATATATAAATATATATATACGTATAAATAGATAAACAAATATTTATTTATATAACCGA